GCGATGGGAGGGGGAAGGGAGAGGCCATGCGACGGGCGAGAATAGCCGATCCCTGATGGAAGACCGCCCTCGCGCCAAGTTTTAGGGATAGGACATATATGACTTAATGGCCTCCTCTCCTGCACTGTCTCTTTCCTCTTGAATTCCTTTGCACCTTCGCTATCTGCATTTCCAGGGACTACCTCGATGCTGCAGTCTGCTTACGGCTTGGACCTCAGTTCTCGGATCCGATTTTTTGCGAGGCGGCTGATGCATGAAAATAAATACAGTGTAAATAATTGGCCAACGCGCGGGCTGCCCGAGCGAAGATCTGTTTTTTGCATAGTTCCCCGCAGTTTTTGTTGCTACCAGCACCGGCTTTTTCGGCAAATGCTTCTTGCTAAACAAATTAAGACTGGCCGCCAGAACTGTCAGAAAACATCCCCTTAACATTTCAGTTTTCTAGCTTCCGTGGCCTCTGAGTTAGCAACTTACTGGAACAAAATTTTCACGGGCCCGTGCATGTTTACCAAGCATGCCTGAGATTCGAGCTGAATGAAATTTAGGCGAACGCGGTATATCTTCTTAAAATTACATTCCTTTAGCTTCTCAGGTAACTGAGTTATCAATTTACCCGAAAAAGGTTTTGGCGGACTCGTACGTGGGTACCACGCTTACCCGGGGGCTGGGCTTGAGCCCACTAATACCCGGTTGAGCGGGGAACATTGCCCCAAGATTTCAGCCTTCTAGCTTCTCAGATCCTCGAGTTATGATCTGACCCCGAAAAAACTTTGGCGGGCCCGTACGCGGGTACCACGCGGGTTTTGGCGTCCATTTTGGGGGTTGGGGGCGGTACGTGCATGTAGATTAAGTCCCCGAAATTTCAGCCCTGCAGCTTTTACAGGTTCTGAGATGAAAGTGCGTGACAGACGCACACACAGACACACAGACGCACAGACATACAGACACACGGGCACACAGACAACCCCTCGTCAATATGCGTTTTCTGCAATGCATAGCTGCAAAAAACGCATAAAAATTGGGGATATCATTTATGAGTGAAATTCCTGGAATTATAACGCGGAATGATAATATATATAAGTTGAGCGCCGGAAATTGGATGACGGGCTGTTGTTTCGTGAAGTTTATGAAGTTCATGTGGATTATCGTATGTGAATACAGTGAGTGATTTACCTGTGCCGGCTACTCTATGAAAGTACAAAACAGATGTTTTTTTTTACTTACAGGTGGTTTTTATACTCTGTGGTCAATTGCTCTATGCTTTGTGTCTGCTTCTGACGAAATCGATAAAAGTGGCGCTGATTGCCAGTATTATATTCAGCCTAAATCCTGCTAGCATATTCTTTTCGGCGATTTACTCGGAAGGTATCTATATGCTGTTCACGCTAAGTGCTATGTTCACGCTGTACGCCGATCCAGGACTTCCATTCATACGCCACGTCGTTGCTGCGTTGCTTTTCTCATTTGCATTCGCTACCCGGTTTGTTTTTTCCCCATTGTACTGTTTTTTCTTTAATATGCACAAATTCCCAAATATTTTGTCCCCATTCTTCAATATGGGGATAATATTTATTAAAAATTGCATTTTCGTGAGAGCGAATCGTAATCCGCAGTGAGCAATATATGTGAAATGCGTGAGTCGTAAGTAAAATACAGGTGGATCGCACCTACCTTTCAATACGGGGATAATATTTAAATTATTGGCGACGCGCACTGGGCGGGCCCGTGCGATCATGCATTTTTGCAGTGCTTCGTGCTGTAATAA